GGCTCCTCCCCTAGGAGTTCTTAAAATCTTTAATTTGGAATTTAAAAATTTCATATAAGAAGTATCATTATAGATAACTGAATGAATACTTTATAGCTGACTCTCATGAGATTTTAGTACCTATATTCTAAACTAAGTGACCTTTCTAAATGTGTTTAATTTATATGGCTAAGTTTTTCAAGCATGGGCTTCTGGAGTCTATGAGGTTGCTGACTAATAGTGGTCTGTATTGTTTCTGTGAAATAATTGTTTTAAACCTATCTACTAAATAATTATGAGAGTAAACTAAGTTGGATTGCCATTGTACTTAATTTATATATATACATGTCAGTAGTCCAAAATATTGAGTATTCTAGCATACTTTTATGTCCCATCTTGTTTAAAAATGATACTTGTGATAAAGTACATGAATAATTCCATTACTGCTACAGTTTAATAGTAAAATGGAGATTACCTATATAGAAAGTAGCTAATATGTATTTTCTTACATTTTGAAGTAGTTGATAAATACTTCTTGCATCATTCTTTCATCCCATCCACTCAGTACATCCTTTCACTAAAAATCTGAAGGTAAGTAATTTATGCTTTGCACATGGACTTCTTGACTTTTTTTTTTTTTTTTTTACTAATTTCAAATATTTTTCTATGTAGAGGTGAAATGAATTAAAAGTTTTCTTTTTGTTATTTATAAACGTCATTTTAAACTGATTCTTGAAAGCTCTTCAAACATGGATTAGGGCTTGCTTTTTTAGTCATTAAATTGATAGTTATTGCAACTTTAACCAAACCTATTTAGCAGTATCCTAATCATGTTCTTATACATAATGAACAAAGGTAGTCTGCTACTGGTCATACAACTTACCAGTACTGTCACAAAATCTCTCATTAGATTTTCATGAAACTGCATGATGTCAGAGAAGCAGTTGTTAGAGATTAGTGTCAAATGCTCATTGAATGTTTTCTAAGTGTTCTGCTCTGTTGTTAGAGGTTTGTGTGTATTTTTATTGTTGTGAAAATTCAACCTTGTGAAATAGGTACTATTATTGCCCTCATTTTTTAAATAAGAAAACTGAAGCAAAGAGTGGTGGTAGTGGGATTGTGTACAAGTTTCTTAACATTTCTTCGCCTATCTCTGCCATATTCTCTAAGTTCAACTCCTTCACACAAGATTTTACCCCTTATGAGTTACTTAAGAACATTGCTCTTGAAATTTTCTGTTTTTCTCTCCTGCATCATCACTTTGGAATCATTCTGAGGATGGATTATTTCTATTGGCATACAAACATGTTATTTCTCTTTCCTCAAAAAAAACCAAAAACACAAAACAGTAAAACAAACAAGACCCTCTGTTGACTCCACTTCCCTTCCAGCTATTACCTTTATTCCCATTCTGTCTTTAGTGCACAACTCCTTATAAATTCTGAATATTCATTATTTGTAACTGTATTCCTATCCTTTTCTCTTAAATACATCCCAGTAAAGTTTTTACCCTACTGTTCCACCAAGATTGCTTTTATCAAAGTCACCAGCGAGCTTGATGTTGCAGGATATGGTGGGGGATATAGAGAAATAAATAGAATAATGTGAAAGAAGGACACTATGAATATATAACAAAAACCTAGAAACATTCAAATATCCATGTTGTAAACTTTAGTTTTTCTGTGTAATGGAGCATTCAAAAAGAGTGGGGAAGACATCTTTATACTGCTAAGGAGTACTTGCCAGGGTAAAATAAGAGAAAACAAAGTACTAAAGAGTGAGTATCATGTTCTACCTTTTATGTGAGAAAAGAAGGGATACACAAGTGTGCTTATATCCAGATTTTTTATGTTGTTAAAAAACCATGGAAGGGTAATTCAAAATTACAGAGGAAGAGGATAGAGGACAGAAGCTAAACCTCTTTGTACGTTGTTCTATAATTTTTCCTTTTTTTCTGTGTGTTTTATATATAATTTTAAAAATTAAATAGCAAAAAAAAATCCTAGATGGTAACAAAACAATTTAACAATGTCAGGATGTTAACAAAATTACAAGAAGAATTACAAGTAATTTTGAAACAGTATTTTGACTTCATATCTCTAGTAGGATGTATCTAAGGACTGAAAAAGTGACAAGAAATCTTAAACCTCATCCAGTATTATTGAGATTATACATAGTAGGATAAAGCACATAAGTACTTTTGCTAATGGCATAATTTTGTTAATATCATTAGTAAAAAACATTTTCAGGGTGACAGATGTATAAATAAAATAAAAAACATATACCATTCAATTAAAATCAGAAAAATGAATATTCACTCAGGGTTTAAGTTTCTTCTTTTCAAAAATACATATTTGGTATCTCTCTTGAAGAATCTTAGAAATAATAGCAAGTGACCATACGTACCCTCAGACCCCAGATTTTGTCTTTAGATGCCGTTTCCTATTAAAAGGAATCAAAGCCCCTGGAACTGTGGCTGTTTCCAGGCCTGGCAAAAGAAATGTGGAAAGTGAACCTTATGTGCCCGAAAGCAAGGAAGCTCTTACAGACTACGAGGTCAAAATTATTTTCTACCCCTAATGAAATAATGGCTCTAGGCAGTTTGATCTAAGTTATTAATAAGGTGAATGTTTGATGGCAGACTTCATAGGGGATGAATCAGGCTGACAGTATTTAAATACACTGATCGATCTTAACATGACTAAAAGTAGGTCACCCAATCTACATGTGCTAATAATGATGTGATACAACAGGAAATTCTCTTGTCAAACAAAAAAGAACCTGAAGTTAATCAACCCTCCAGATCTAACTGCATTTACAGAGACTACAGGACAAACTATACCATACCAGAAGAACACAGTCACTTAACATCCAGACTGCAATATGTTTTCTTCAACAAATAGCTAGGGAAAATTTTGAAAGAAGTGGAAGCTGTTAAAAGATGAAAAGAGACATAACATCCCAATTCCATGTGTGAACCTTGTTTGATTCTGAGTTAGACAAACCATCAGATGGTAAAGAATCTGCCTGCAATGCGGAAGACCTGGGTTCGATCCCTGGGTTGGGGTGACCCCTGGAGAAGGGCATGGCAACCCACTCCAGTCTTCTTGCCTGGGGAATCCCATGCACAGAGGAGCCTGGTGGGCTGCAGGCCATGGGGTCACAGGGTCGGACACAACTGAGCGACTCAGCACAGCACAGCACACATCCCTAAAAACACATTTTTGAGCAAGTGGGGCAAATTGAACTGTACTGGATATTACTTAATAAGAAATTAATGTTTATTTTATTGAAGGTGGTAATATTCTGGTTAGTTGCAAAAACAGCTGCTCCAGATACATGCTGTTTTTTAACATGTGAACAGAAATGATATGGGGTGTTTGTCTTAAAACTCTTTTCCTTGCCAAAAATGAAATGGGGGTGGGTAAATGAAACAAGAATAGCAAAATGTTGATAATTGTTGGAGCTGGATATTTGGGAATTCTAAAGATGGTAAGGGGCTTCATTTTATTCTCTCCACTTTTGTGTTTGATAATTTAATAGTAAAGTAAAACACTTCATAAGAAAAGACTGATTTTTTTTGTATCGAATGATATGACATAGGAGTACCTATTAAATGTTTGAGCTGATAGTTTATGATGGCTATAGTATTTATCAAAGGAACTTCTTTAGGTTGCAGTTGAAGTAATAAGTATATTGTAGAAACTTATAAAGCATTATCTAATTCATTTCTTCAGGGCTTAAATCAGTCTTTATCTGCTTAGCATTTAACTTATGTTATATAATTTACTATTGTGCCCCACTCAGTGTTTATTTGTATTGATTAAAGTTTCAAGACTTGTGATACGTAGTTTTTAAAAAAAATCCTGTGTTGTATTTGGTTCTTTATATATAAGAATTTGTATATGTGCATTTTTGGAATGGTGCACTCAAAAATACTTCTGGGGAAATTAAATTACGCCTAAAAGCTAAGTATCTTGGAAGGACAACTCTACCTTCTCTTGATCTTTGGTACCTAAGATACCCTGAACCACAGATCTTAACTATAGAATGGCTCTTTTTACTGTGGTTAATTTTAATGTAGACCCTTTTTTAGTAGCCATTTTGCATATATAGACTGTTTAAAAATTGTTATAGTTATTGCTTGGATTTGGCATGTTTAGTAGTTGTCAATATAGCCAATATTTTAATAGAGTTCAAGGAACGCTTGCCTGTTTCTCCATTATGAAATAGGAGGTCTTATAGAGACTGTACATAAATGTTTTTATTTTAAATACCTAATGCTTGTAGTGTGAGCACTTAGCAGATTTATTAGAAGTACAAAATAAGGCAGAGATAACCAGAATTTATTTTATATTTTGGGTTGTATATGGATAATATGGCCCTTGGATCTCCATGCACTTGAGCTTGTTTTTCTTTAGTCTTGTGTTTTTGAAAAATGTACAAAGGTATTCATGAGAATGGCAAGAATAATAAAAACTAGAATAGTTATCTAAGACTGTAAACTATATCCAAATGGCTTTTGAATTTAAAACTGATAAATTACCCTGCATGGTGTTACTGAATAAGAAAATAAATTTCATGTATACTTTTGATTAAAAATACTGACAAAATAATGCAAAGTAACACTGGTGACCTTGGAATTTTATCCCATTGTGGACTGTTAAATAGAAAGCCAGCCACCTTCTCATTAGTAGTCTTGAAGGTTTTTAGTGATAGTCACATATGCATTGTATTATGGCTGAAAGACCGACTTCCAATTTACCTGTTTTTCCCCTGTTTTAAAGATAATTTGGTAATTATCTGTATTTTATTATATCTACAGTAGATATGTTACCATTTGCTGAACTTTTAATGTCCTAAATGGAATTTGGAAAAACCAAATTCTTAAATTATGTCAGTTTTCTGCTTACTTGTGCCTAAGGGGAATTTTACTTTACCCATAGTAAGGCATCTTATTCCCAACCTTCTATTTGTATAATTAGAAAAAGTTGAATTTTTTTCTTTATCCCATTTCTTAGTTGACGAAGGATCAGAGATTGGTGTATTCGGGCAGACTGCTTCCCGATCATCTGCAGCTGAAAGACATTCTCAGAAAAGTAAGCTTTTCCACCACTATTCAATACCAGTTACTCAGAGTGCCAGAGGAAATATGTTCTGAACTTTCTTTTGATATCCAACCAATTTAGTTCTTAGACACTTAAAATCAACCCTTTTGGGTAGCATAATAGGTGATTCTGATTGGTTAACAGTTTTATATATCCATCTGATAGCTAAATCTGAAATAGCATTACATATTTGTGTTCAGGGATTTGTTATCTTGTGGAAGATCACTAATGCAGGAGTAGAGCGCTCAAGTAGACTGGTAACAGTCCCCTCTCTTAAATCTGTTTTTGATGAAACTACATGACATTTTAATACAAGTTAACTTGGGTTAGTAGTTTAATTTTGGGACATCGAATATTACAGAAGGAAGCCCACTTGGTCCATCAGCAAACTTTGAATCCTGGTACTCAGAATTAAATATATTTTAATATAATTTTTTGATTGATAGAATACTAGTTACTTTAATGGCAGCTTTTAGCTCATGTTTATTTGTGGAATTTATACTTTTAGAATTTTTCTGCATTTGAGATTCTTTTTGCTTGTGAATGTAGCAGAATTGAATATATAGCTGTTAGGTTTCACTTTAGATTTTTGACTTAACTCAGTGTTTTCCAGATATCCCTAATCTCTTTATGCTCTTGTGTATGTTTATGATCACCTGTGGGAAATTTTAAAAAACCTTACACTGGTGTATTCCTTCTGTTTAGATAGTTGACATTTTAGCTTTGCTAGTGTGACTTCCTACTGTCATTTTCATTTTAATTATGTAGTTTCAGGTTGCCAAGGTTTAATAACATCTGTCACTGTCTCTCTCTCTCTACTTCTCCCTCTCTCTCAAAAATACTGGCTTTTGTAGCATATATCTTCCCCTCTTTCTTTTCTTAATAGACTTTATTTTTTAGAGTAGTTTTAGGTTCATAGCAAAATTGGGCAGAAGGTATAAAGATTACCCATATAACTTATGCCTCCACACATACACAGCTACTCCCACTAACAGCATTCTACATCAGTCTACATTAGAGTGCTACAGTAGTTAGAGTTGAAGCCTGCATTGACATCATCACCCCAAACCCATAGTTTACATTAGGGTTCACTCTTGGTGGTGTACTTTCTGTAGGCTTTAATAAATTTATAATGACAGGTATCCACCTTATAATACTGTACAGAATATTCACTACCCCCCAAATCCACTATGTTCCACCTCTTCATTTTCTTTCCTAGTTTTATCCTTAAAAACTTTTTATACTATATGCTCTTTGAAATATAGATGTATTATTTTAACCCAAGGATAGCTAGAGTCTGAACATGCATACTTCTAAAGAGGGTTTTGCTGCCAAAAATCATTTCCAATCAGAATACTTAACATGCTTTGGGATTTCCGTGGTGGTCCAATGGTTAAGACCCTGCGCTATCACTGCAGGGCGCTCATGTTCAATCCCTGATCAGGGAACTAAGATCCCACATGGGCCTCTCTATGGCCAGTCCCCTGCCCTCCCCCAAAAAAACAACAAACGAAAACCACCCAGCTTCAGTCAGAGGACTGTTGTGTCCCTTATCATAGAACGTTTGAACAGTATCTTTGCAATTTGAGCAGATCATTGAACTGTATAACCCTTTACTTCTTTCAGTTAAATGCTGTCATTAACTTTACCTGTTTAGTTATAAAATGTTTTATAGAAACATTTCCCAAAGGTGAATAAATACGATGAGGTAATTGTGGTTAATATGATCTTTGAAACTAGGTTTGAACGGATGAACATCTTACACTTGGATGCTTTTTTTACTGTTCTGTATTCCCAAGCTAAAGGGACATTTTAAATCAGGCATCCTTTCTACCTGCTTTGCTTGGTGAACCTCATGTAATGCTATTTCTGGGAACGCCTTTCTTTAGTATTCTAACTCCTATTAACTTCTTCCTCTAAACCCATAAAACAGTTAACGGTTCATGCGTCTCAGTTTTGTGCAAAAGACTGATTTATGTATTTCTCTAATTGTGCTCTAATGTGCTAGCCTGTTCTTTTAAAAATTTATTTATTTATTTGTTTTTGGCTGCTGGGTCTTCATTGCTATGCCAGCTTTTCTCCAGTTGGAGAGTGGGAGCTACTCTGCAGTCGCAGTGTGCGGGCTTCTCGCTGCGGTGACTTGTCTTGTTGCCAAGCACAGGCTCTAGGGCGCGCGGGCTTCAGTAAATGCAGCTCTCGGGCTCTAGCGCACAGGCTCAGTAGTGCGGCGCCTGGGCTTAGTTGCCGCATGTGGGATCTGCCCAGATCAGGGGTCAAACCCGTGGCTCCTGCACTGGCAGGCAGATTGTTTACCACTGAACCGCCAGGGAAGCCCTAGTCTGTTCTTTTAACAACATCATGAGTCTCTTTAGGGGAGGGACTGACTCCTGCCCTCTCTTGGATTCACCTCAGAATTAAGCACAGTTCTTGTTTATGGAAGATGATGAATTCCTAGAGCTTTGTTTCTCTTTCTCACAACTGGGCATCTTTTCTTTACTTCCTGCTGCGTCCCCTCCCCCCCCCCCCACTTTAAAAAAAAATCATTTTCTGACTTTTTAAAATTACTGCGCCATCCTTTGTTCTTCTCTGCCTTTCCTTACTCTACCTTATTTACTTGTTTTATGCCTATGATAAATATACTCATGAAATCATTAAGCTAAAATGTCAATTAGAGTATTTTCCTTCACTCATAGTTGTAGATTTATGGAGACACATTTGGAATATTTACAGAATATAGTTCAAATAGATGCTCTACGTCTGTGTATCGGTGATAGAGATAAAACCAGTTTTTGACTTAAGAAATAAAATACTGTTGCTAAAATTCAGACAGATGAGATTATAGTGAGGTTATTTGAGTTTCCTTATCACTGTAAGTTTTCAAATAATGAAAACATTTACTATTCAAAGTTTGTAGGCCTCAGCCTCAATGTGACTGTCACAGTACTGATATTAATGTGTGTAGTATTTTTATACTGAAATAATAGATTGCATTGACACAACTTTACAGCAGTGTTTGCTTCAAAATCCCTTGGTAAACAAAATAATAATTTTTTTCACATAGTAGTTCCTGAGTATTGAGACCATTTTCTGAGCATGGAGGAAATACTGAATTCAGAAGGGTCCCAATTTATGTGCAGGTGACAACAATTTATTACTGAGAAAATGGCTATGGTAGGAAGAAACTTAAGTTTTGAGTTAAGTATTTCTGCTTAGCTACTGACATTTTTGAGCTGTGTACTTTCCAGTACTACCCTTTAAATGTAATTTTCTTTAATTTTAGCAAGATGAGTATCATATGGTTCATCTAGTATGTACTTCTCGGACTCCTCCCAGTTCTCCAAAATCCAGCACCAATAGAGAAAGTCATGAAGCACTGGCATCCAACAGCAATTCTGTGAGTTGTTTTGGGCAGAGCAAATGCTGAAGTTTTCTGATTGTCCCTCTTGCCTCTAAAAACTAAGTGGAAAACAGAACAACTGGATCTTGTGGGTGGTGAGACTGTGTTGTGAACAGCTTAAGTTAATCATTTAAACTTCATTTTTAGAGATCCAATACACAATGTAATCCCTTGAAGCCTGTTTCCCATGAGTTATAATTTACTATATGGCAGGTCAGTAATAGAGCCAATCTTCAAGGGTTTAATTACTGAAATACTAAAAAGACAGAATTATGATATGGTTATATAATATAAACTCTACAGCCAATATTTCAGAAATGTTTAAGGTATTTTATATATTATATTTAATCAAGGTAGATTAAATTATTTAAACTTTAAGTTCGCTAAATCTTCTTGAAGAAGATTGTTTGGTCAGTAATTATTTTTTAAAATGACTGGATTTGAATATATGTTCCAACTCTGAGAGGAATAATTACTTGATGTACCCAGTTCTTTCAGGCTTGAGTATTCATTTTTCCCTCCTTATTTTTCCATCTGCCTGAAATTGTTTTGGAAATTTAAAAAACTAGTTGAACTTTACAACTTAGACATCTTTTACGCTGTCCAAATTCTCTTACAGTAAATTATTTTTGGTTTCCTGTCACCGCTTTGTGGGACACTGTGGAGGTGCAGGGAAGGGCTGGCTGAGTGGGCCGCTTGTGTAGAGCTTCCTGGGTAGGGAGCTCTGTGCTGCTAAGTGTGCTCTCCTCCTTGTCCGGAATCCAGCCGACATTTTGAGGGGGGGACGGAATGGCAGGGGTGATGACGAGATACTGATTGTTAACTGCTTCTTTAAGAAACCAGATCTTGTAGTTGCTCTCTTTAATTAGCATAGCCTCAATGGTAAGTATTTCTAGTACTGGTCATGGGAATTCAGCTTTCACTAAACTGAAATTTGTTTTGTCGATAAACCTAAGGGTCTGTTTCTGTTTCCTACCTTGCATAAGAAGGGACAGAACCCTGGTACTGGCATAGAATTCTGTTTATAGTCTTTGAACAGTTGTGTTACTCCTGTTTCTGTTGACAGAGAACTTTCTTTTCCCTTTTTTAGTGGTTCCTCAGCCATGATTTCATTTCTTTAGAATATATATTCAGTTTTTCAGAGGTGTGTTATAAAAAATCTTAGAAGTACCAAAGGAGAATGAAATTGAATTCCTCTTAATTTTTTTATGGCTGATAAATTTCAGTGGGACTTGATAATGTCTTAAAAATCTGTTCATGAAAGTTATCTAATAAGGTCAGGAATAATTAGTTCTAGAGAAATTAGGGTGTGCTGCCAAATGGCTAGGCCTTTCTTCTATTAAATTTTTTTAGTGAATACCATATTTTGATGACCCATTTAATTTGAAATCTTGCCAAAAAAGAAGACTTTCCAGGTTGTGTACCTAATAATCAGCTTCCCTAGTAAATATTTGGTGTCTGTTTGGTATGGAATGACATTCTAAAGCTTTTGTTAATTTTTCAAAGGTCCTTAGGACCTTTCACATGGCAGGAGTAAGGAAGGTAGACATGCAAAAAGACATGCTGTGAATAGGAAGGCAGTACCAGTAAATGTGATTTTAACAAACTTGGAAGGATGTTGAAATTATCTTGTATCCAGTTTTTTAAAGTAGGCAATTTATATAAACTGTAATTGTGTTTTAAATTTACATAAAACACTTGACAAACTATTTTCAAACAGCAACAAGTTGAGGTGGTCTTCAAGGGGTTATATTGATTGAAGTTGTTGAATCTGTAAGTTACTGACACCATTAATGCATGAGAATTTTAAAATTCTGTTTGGTATCTTGTTCATTTTGTTAAAAAAAACAGTATTTGTTGGTAGTATCTTTAAACTAATAGGATTTTAGGACTGAAAGGAATTGTGAAAATCTAGTTCATTCTCATTTCTTATAGGAAAGCTGTAACTTTAGGGGGTTAAGTGAATTGTAAGGTTATGTTCCTTGTTAATGTCAGAGATAACACCAAATTCTAGCATGCTCTTCAATGTTTTAAACCAGTATATGACTAATAGCATGTTATACAGTAGCTGGCGCATAGTAACTGTTTAAGTGATCCAGTTATTAGTACCATTATTGAACACTTCCTTATGTGTTAAGCATCATGAAAAGAGCTTTGCATGCATTAATTTTCACAAATTTTGTATGCTATTTTTGGTATATAATGACTACTCAGCCTTTTATAGTTGAGAAATGGACTATTATTGTATAATTAGTGGATTTTTATTTTCTAAACTCTTTAGTCTCATGAGAATTAAATTATTTATACCCATATATATAAATAAATACATATACCTATTATGCTGGGCACACAAGTCAAATCAGTAAATTTCTAGAATTCACTCTTTCCGGAGGGATTTCACAGATACATTTTTAGTAATGTGTCTATAATATTGTGATTATAATGAGTTAAATCTCCTTGAAAAAAATAATTACATTTTTGTTTGTAGAGTTCAGATCAGTCAGGATCATCAACTCCATCATCCAGTCAAGAAACCTTGACTTTAGCTACCAGTTCTTCCTCAGAAGGATTGAGGCAACGTACCCTTCCACAAGCACAAACTGACCCAGCACAGAGTCATCAGGTCCCATATGTAATGCAAGGGTGAGTGAATCTCTGATAGCTTTGGTCCTCTTAAAAATCTATGACTCCAGACTTTCATGGTAGCCGCCTTCACTAATCAAAGTACATTTGAAATTTATTCATATACCTGATTATATGTTTTGCGAATTAGAGTGTTAGGTGCAGCAGTATTTTGGGGGCTGTCCTGTGTGGTTTGTGGGATTTTAGTTCCCTGACCAGGGACTGAACCTGGGCCCTCTGCAGTGAGAGCACTGGACTGCCACCAGATTCTTTGGAGCAGTGCTTTTGAAAGCTGGTTGTACATTAGAATTGTCTGGGGCAGTACCTTTCAGTCTTTAATGTTTGTGCTAATCACCTGGAGATGTTAACATGCAGGTTCTGATTCAGTTGGTCTAACAGGGCCTGAGATTCTGTATTTCCAGTGAGCTCCGCTGTGATGCTGATGCTTCTGATGCTTTGACTATAGTTTGAATAGCAAGGATCTAGGTAACTAAAATTTTTGTTTTTACTCAATCTCACTATGTCATGTTCAAAGTGCTCAGTCGTGTCCAACTTTGTGACCCTAAGGACAATAGCCCACCAGGCTCTTCTCTCCATGGGATTTTACAGGCAAGAATAGGCTGCCATTTCCTCCTCCAGGGTATCTTCCCTACGCAGGGATTGAACCTGTGTCTCCTACATCTTGGGCATTGGCAGGCAGATTCTTTAACACTAAGCCATCAGGGAAGCCCCAGTCTCACTATAGATCTACTCAAATTAGTCTTCTGGAGAAAAGATGGGTGAATAAGAGTGTTCTTGAAAGAGTATAGAGCCTAGTAATCTGTTTTTTAAAAGTTCTACTGGTGTTTATGATCAGCCAGGCTTGGTAACAACTAAGACTGAGTATTATGATAAGTATCATGGGGATGTATTATGAAGATATGCTAACTATTGCATGTTATCCAGAGACTTTCTTAAGAGGAGTTTACTCAAGAAGCTTGCTATGGCTACCTTATATTTAGCAATTACAATAGGCCTCTTGGGTTAGGCAGTTCCAGGGGAAATGCCGCCAACAGCCACAGCAGCTGTGGACAGCTCAGAGAGGAGGATCTTGGGGAATACAGTTTAGATCTGGGTCTGTCTGAAACTGGAGTACTTTTGAAGTAAAGGAAACAGGAATAATAGTTACTGATAGTTGTTTTGCATTGCATATTGTGCTGTGGGACTGCAGTGTGTGACAGTGCTCCAGGTCTATGATGGTGAGGCTGGAAATAAGCAAATGGCTGGGACCCCCCAAAATGGTAGTAAGTGATGTAACCAAGGAGTAGCCACTAACTCTTAAGCCAAAGGGGATGTAATAACATATGGCTACTTTTTACTTAGAACTTTGTAAACTTAATTCAATTCTTAATGTAGAAAAACAAAGCTGAGTATATAGACAAATAATAAGACTCATTTGTCTCATATTCTTGAGTTTTTCTTCTAAAAATAAGTGTTTAGTGAGGCCGATTGTAGACTTTTATAAAGCACCTCATGAAACTATTTTTGTTTTCAGAAAATGATTATTACAAACCAGAACTTTGTTATTTGTAAAAAAAGTATTGTCACGATTTATATGGTAGAATAGTGGCTTAAAACAGTTTGTCTTATGACAGTGATTCCTTTTCTGACTTCTTTGCAGAATAAGACAGTTCAGTTCCTCTCAATTTATACAGAGTGCTGTTACTAATATTTTACCAAATATGGTGGTAGTGATGGAAAGTGAGAATGGATATAATAAACCTTGAAGAATATATAATGATATGTTGACAATAGTTATATCTGCACAATAATATTTTTAACTCTTTCTCATACTTACAGTGAATATATTAATATATATATTTTAACTCTTGATTTATTAAATTAAGGTAAAATATGCATAAAATAAACCTTTTAAAGCATTTTTAAAGTTCACAGTTCACTAGCATTAAGTACCTACACAGTGAATATATACTCTGTAATAAAGTATATAAAGTTGCATGTTTTCAGAATAAGACCATGGATATCTTGGAAACAGATAATAATTTCTTTAAACTAGTCTGTTGAGAAAATCAACAGACTTTGGAGCAAACGCATTTAGCTCTTAGAAGTATATAAAACAGATTAGAAAAATCTGAAATAGTGTTTATTTTGCTAAAAATGAGTATTAAGATGAAAAGAGGTAAAATCCTTAAATAATATTTAGTTTTAAATCAGGAGAGCCGTATAGCTTAGTGGATGTACAGATTCAGGAGTCATCCTGCCCTGGTTTGAATCCTAGCCCTATCCACTGACTAGCTTGGGCAAGTCTCTTCTCTTCTTTGCCTCAGTTTGCTCATGATCTGGAGATAATAGTACTTATTATACAGGATTTCTGTGTGGATTAAGAGTTCATGTATGTAAAGAGTTCAGTGATATGTTAGCAATTATTTATAAATTCATTCATACTTATAAGTGAATGCTGTATGTTCATTCAGCAAACATATTTATAGGCATTGGTGAGTCTGACACGCTGAAACATCTGAATGAATGCCAGTACCAGGTGCTGAAAAATAAAAGTCTGTATTTGGAAAGAGCACTTTGTGATTTACAAAGCAATTTAAGTGAAAGTTCAATAAGTAGGTTATTCGGCTTAACAATGAATGTGATTTAACCTAATCTTATAGTTGTAATCTTTTACTAATGAAGACTTTACATCTGTCTTTAAGTAAATTTTGTTTAATATAGCCTTGCCTTAAATGTGCAAGAGCAGTAATTTAGTGACCTTGAAGAATTCACCAACAAAATATAATCTCTCCACATCATTTTTAGACTCCAGCACAGCTTATATTTAGCTAGTCACATGTGTTTTCCACCATGTAGGTTAGTACTCTAACCTTTAAAATTGCTAAATTCTGGTCACTGTTCCTTGAGTTTTTGAATCACTTTAGGACTCTGCCAACTTAACAGCATTCTGGGAGCCTAACTTGTCAAGACATCCTAATGCAGGTGATTATTTGCCCATTAAGCTCTTGAGGAAACAATGAGAAGACCAAACAGTACATGTGCATCACCACATTAGCTGTCCATTTATAATGTCACATTTATAAATCTTGACTGTTTTGTACTCACAGTGTATTATGCTGTCATGTTTATTTAACTCTAAAAATTGCTGACTGGTTCATAAAAAATTGCCCACTGTTTTATACACTTAATTTCCTTGCCTGAAATAGTAGCAGCCTTGTTTTATAATTAATAAAACTGAAAACCTACTCATTGTAATCTTCTGTTATTTGATTTTTTATATCAAAAACTGCTTATAACCCACCACCCAGAAATAAGTGTTACTAACATTTTTGTAGTTTCCTTCTAAATACTTTTCTAAGTATACTTTTAAAATAGAAACATCATACTATTTTATTTTATAAATCTTTTAAAAAAGAATGTAGTCTGGACATATTTCCAGATCAAATACAGATATACAACATTTAAAGTTTGCATTAGCAATTACCTCAAAGGCCTATGCACTGAAAATTATAAGATAATGAAAGAAATTGAAGACACAAATGCTCATGAGTTAGAAGAATTAGTGTTGTTAAAATGTCCATACTCTCAAAGCAATCTATAGATTCAGTCAGTGTCTGTCAAAATTGCAAATATTTTTCACAGAAGTGAACAATCCTAAAATTTGTACAGAACCACAAGATCCTAAATAGCCATAGCAACCTTGAGAAGAACAAAGCTAAAGGCATCACACTCCCTGATTTCAAACTATACTATGGAGTAATAGTAATTAAAACAATATGGTATTGCCATAAAAACAGATTAGTGGAACAGAATAGAGAACCCAGAAATAAACCCATACATATATAATCAATTAATTTATGACAAGAAGCAAGACTATACAATTAGGAAAGGATAGTCTCTTCAATATATGGTGTTGGAAAAACTGCAACAAAATTAAGCTAGACTACTATTTTATATCCTACATAAAATTAACTCAAAATAAGAATTCCCTGGCAGTCCAGTGGTAAGGACTAGGTACTTTCACTGCTGAGGGTGCAGGTTCAATCCCTGATTAGGAAACTAAGGTCCTGCAGGCCACACAGCTTGGCCAAAAAAGAAAAAGTTAACTCAGAATGAATTTGATTTGAATATAAGGCTTGAAACCATTAAAATCCTAGAACAAAATAAAGCTCCTTGACACTGGACTTGGTGATGATTTTTTAGATTTGACAATGAAAACAAAACTAAATAAATGGAATTACATTAGACTAAAAAGCTTTTGCACAGTAAAAGAAATCATCAACAAAATGAAAAGGCAACCCACTGAATAGGATAAAGTATTTACAAATCATATGCCTGATAAGGGGTTATATATAAAATATATAAAGAACTCATACAATAGCAGAAAACCAAATAATCCAGTTTATAAATGGGCAGAGGACCTGAATAGACTTTCTTCCAAGAAGGCATACAGATGGCCAGCAGTTATATGAAAAGATGCTCAACATCACTGATCATCAGACCAACGCAGGTCAAAAGCACAGTGAGATACCTCACACCTGTCAGAATGGCTGTTATTAAAAAGACAACAATTAATAAGTGTTGTCAGGATTGTGGAGAAAAGGGAACCCTTGTGTACTGTTGCTGGCAATGTAAATTGGTACACCCACTATGGAAAACATTATGGAGTTTCCTAAAAAAATTAACAGAACTAGCCTGTGATCCATCAGGTCCAGTTCTAAGTATCTGAAGAAAATGAAAATACTTAATTTGAAGAGATAAATGTGCTCACATGTTCACTGCAGCATTATCTATAATAACCATAAGGAAGCAACCTCAGTGTCCCTAGGGAGAAAATGGATAAAGAGCTCATGGTACATTTATACACAATGGAATAGTATTCAGCCATAAAAAGAAAAGTTATAGTGTATCTTTCAGTAACAGTTGTTAAGAGCCTGATTGACCGTACCATTACAAATTCATACATCCCAGTGCAGTAAGTTGGAATGCCCTTGTTTTAGTTTAGACATGATAAAGAGACATTCTTTTTATCCTGTTTTGTGAACTGCTTATTTGTTGGCATGTTGGCATTTTAAAAAGTTCATTTGTGACAGTTCTTTATGTAAAAGAATATTACTAATTGATACTATTGAGTATTACTTAGTATTAATAATTACTTAGCATAAGCTCAGCATTGTATTAAGCACTTATACATGCTTTATTTCATTGAACTTTATACCAACTCTGTGGCCTAGGTACGGTTCTCTCCCAATTTATGAATGAGGAGAAGGAGGCTAAAAGGTACGTAGCCTGCCTTACTTCAGCAGTCAGTAGCAGGACTAGAATTCAAATCCACATCTGACTGGAAAGTCTGAGTTTGTTAACTGTCTTGTTGAAGTGAATATTTTATCATTTGTTTCAGTATATTTTTCTGTGTTACCATTTGTGTTTTGATTTCATTTATAATGGTGGTTCTCTCCCCTCTACTCTCCCATTTAAAACTTTTCTCTAGTCAGATCTATTGGTCAGATTTGAAGCAACCTGACTGAATAAGCAAATTTGTCATATAAGGATCATGTGGCTTTCTTCAGGAAAGATTTACTTAGAATTTGCGGTAGCTGGGCACTGAAGACAGGAAAATGAATTATGTAGTTGCCCTCAATGGAAGTAGGTCAGATTGGCAAATACATTGCCATTCCCTGATGTGCTTCTAAGGCTTTGACAAAATTCTGCAGGAGCCTGGAGGAGGGAGTGACTGTGTGCTTTCAGGAGGTGGGAGAGCTTCCTGGCTGGTAACATTGGGGCTGATTTTAAGGGAAGTTCAGCAAGGGAGAACAAAGTAGTGTGGAGAGTCTTGAAAAGGCATATTCTGAAATAAAGTGGGAATTCCATGCAGGTTTTCTTTGAAAGAATTTGTTTCTGATTGTTGAAGTTTCCAGTTCATCTCCTCTCCTTTATAATTCTTAACTTTAAAAGCATACTAATGAATCTCTGTTATAAGGATCTTATCTAACATCCAGCTTCAGCAACAGTTAATAGACAACAGCTCTTCAACCTTTCCCTTGTACCTCTTTTTTTTTTCACTTGGGCTGAAGTATTTTTAAAGTAATCTTAGACATCATATCCCTTCATCTGTAAATACTGTGTATCTGTAACAGATATGACAGATACGGACTATAAGAATCACATACCATTAGAACATGCAACAGAATTAAAAATTCTTTAATATCATTTAATACTCAATTCAAAACACAAGAGAAGACTCTACACATGGACATCACAAGATGCTCAACACTGAAATCAGATTGATTATATTCTTTGCAGCCAAAGATGGACAAGTTCTATACAGTCAGCAAAAACAAGACTGGGAGCTGACTGTGGCTCAGATCATGAATTCTTTATTGCCACATTCAGACTTAAATTGAAGAAAGTAGGGAAAACCACTAGACCATTCAGGTATGACCTAAATCAAATCCCTTATGATTATACAGTGCAAGTGAGAAATAGATTTAAGGGACTGGATCTGATAGACAGAGAGCCTGATGAACTATGGATGGAGGTTCGTGACATTGTACAGGAGACAGAGATCAAGACCATCCCAATGGAAAAGAAATGCAAAAAAGCAAAATGGCTGTGTGAAGAGGCCTTACAAATAGCTGTGAAAAGAAGAGAAATGAAAAGCAAAGGAGAAAAGGAAAGATATTCCCATCTGAATGCAGAGTTCCAAAGGATAGCAAGGAGAGATAAGAAAGCCTTCCTCAGCGATCAGTGCAAAGAAATAGAGGAAAACAACAGAATGGGAAAGACTAGAAATCTCTTCAAGTAAATTAGACATACCAAGGGAACATTTCATGCAAAGATGGGCTCGATAAAGGACAGAAATGGTATGGGCCTAACAGAAGCAGAAGATATTAAGAAGAGGCAGCAGGAATAGACAGAAGAACTGTACCAAAAAGATCTTTATGACCCAGATAATCACGATGGTGTGATCACTCACCTGGAGCCAGACATCCTGGAATGTGAAGTCAGGTGGGCCTTAGAAAGCATCATTATGAACAAAGCTAGTGGAGGTGATGGAATTCCAGTTGAGCTATTTCAAATCCTAAAAGATGAATCTGTGAAAGTGCTGCACTCAATATGTGAGCAAATTTGGAAAACTCAGCATTGGCCACAGGACTGGAAAAGGTCAGTTTTTATTCCAATCCCAAAGAAAGGCAGTCGGAAAGAATGCTCAAACTACTGCACAATTGCACTCATCTCACATGCTAGAAAAGTATAGTGCACAATCGCACTCATCTCACATGCTCAAAATTCTCCAAGCCAGGCTTCAGCAGTACGTGAGCCGTGAACTTCCAGATGTTCAAGCTGGTTTTAGAAAAGGCGGAGGAAGCAGAGATCAAATTGCCAACATCTGCTGGATCATTGAAAAAGCAAGAGAGTTCTAGAAAAACACCTATTTCTGCTTTATTGACTATGCCAAAGCCTTTGACTGTGTGGATCACAATAAATTGTGGAAAATTCTAAAAGAGATGGGAATACCAGACCACCTGACCCACCTCTGGAGAAACCTATATGCAGGTCAGGAAGCAACAGTTAGAACTGGACATGGAACAACAGACTGCTTTCAAATAGGAAAAGGAGTACATCAAAGCTGTATATTGTCACCCTGCTCATTTAACTTCTATGCAGAGTACATCATGAGAAATGCTGGGCTGGAAGAAGCACAAGCTGGAATCAAGATTGCTGGGAGAAGTATCAGTAACCTCAGATATGCAGATGACACCACCGTTACGGCAGAATGTGAAGATGAACTAAAAAGCCTCTTGATGAAAGTGAAAGAGGAGAGTGAAAAAGTTGGCTAAAAGCTCAACAATTCAGAAAACTAAGATCATGGTATCCGGTCCCATCACCTCATGGCAAATAGATGGGGAAACAGTGGAAACAGTGTCAGACTTTATTTCTGGGGGGCTCCAAAATCACTGCAGATGGTGAGTGCAGCCATGAAATTAAAAGGTGCTTACGCCTTGGAAGGAAAATTATGACCAACCTAGATAGCATATTAAAAAGCAGAGACATTACTTTGCCCACAAAGGTCCGTCTAGTCAAGGCTATGGTTTTTCCAGTGGTCATGTATGGATGTGAGAGTTGGACTGTGAAGAAAGCTGAGTGCCAAAAAATTGATGCTTTTGAATTGTGGTGTTGGAGAAGACACTTGAGAGTCCCTTGGACTGCAGGGAGATCCAACCAGTCCATCCTAAATGAGATCAGTTCTGGGTGTTCATTGGAAGGATTGATGCTGAGGCTGAAAATCCAGTACTTTGGCCACCTCATGTGAAGAGTTGACTCATTGGAAAAGACCCTGATGCTGGGAGGGATTGGGGGCAGGAGGAGAAGGGGATGACAGAGGATGAGATGGCTGGATAGCATCACCGACTTGGTGGACATGAGTTTGGGTAAACTCTGGGAGTTGGTGATGGACAGGGAGGCCTGGCATGCTGGGATTCATGGGGTCGCAAAGAGTCGGACATGACTGAGCGACTGAACTGAACTGAATACCCAGTTGATGTTCCTTTTTCCCAGATTGTCCCAAATGTCTTTTTATGGTGGTTTTGATTGGATCAGTATTCAAAGATTGACTTACTACATTTGGTTGATGTTTCTTAAGGCTCTTTTAATCCAATCCCTATCCCTATCTTTTTTTACTTTATGCTTTTTCTGTTGTTCTATGTTCTAATTTCCCATAGTAGTCTAGATTCAACTCACTACATCCATGTGGTGTCTTTAATATTTTCCTCTGTTTTCATAGATTGCCTGTAAACTGGTAGTTAGATCTAGGACCTAATTAAAGTTCAGCTCTTTAAAAAATAATTTTATTTATTTTTGGCTGTGCTGGATCTTTGTTGCTGTGTGGGCTTTTCTTCAGTTGCAGCAGCGGGAGGTACTCCAGTTATAATGTGCTAGCTTCCTGTTGCGATGGCTTCTCTTGTTGCAGAGCACGGGCTCTAGGGCAAGTGCGTTTCAGTATTTGCGGCTCCCAGGCTCTAGTTGTGGCACACTGGCTTAGCTGCTCCAGGGCATGCGGGATTCTCCTGGGTCGAGGGGAGAACCCATGTCTCCTGCATTGGCAGGCAGATTCTTTGCTGCTATGTCACCATGGAAGCCCAGAGTTCAGCTTTTAATTTTTATTTAACTTAAGCTTATGTGGAAAATGTGATATTTATTAAATCACTTTTACAAAACATTTTGACAATTGACTAACAATTAACAACGTAACTAAAAATTTTAGAATCTTAACATCATAGAAGTTTGTTTCTTACTCATGTAGTAGTCTGATTCTAGGCTGTGATGTTGTTCTGTATATGTGGGATCAGGATCATCTTAGATAAGCTGTAATGTCTTTCCTGGTGGCTCCGATGATAAAGAGTCTGCCTGCAATGCAGGAGACCTGGGTTTGATTCCTGGGTCAGGAAGATCTGGAGAAGGGAATGGCAACCCACTCCAGTATTCTTGCCTGGAGAATTCTATGGATAGAGGAGCCTGGAGAGCTACAGTCCATGGGGTTGCAAAGAGTCGCACATGACTGAGGGACTAACACAGATACACAGTGTCTTACTTGAGGAATGTTGAAAATAAGTATTTTTTTTCAGTAAGTTTTAGTATGTTTTGTCAATGGATGATGTAGTTTGGAAATAAAAATGTAGAGAAATGCTTTCAACTTCTGGAGCATTAAAAGACACTTTTTTTATTACTCTATTGCAGAAATGTAGACAACCAGCTTCCTGGGCAGGCTGTTCCGGCTGGATTCCCAGTGTATCCTGCTTTCAACCCACTGCAGATGTTGTGGTGGCAACAGATGTATGCTCATCAGTATTATATGCAATAGTAAGTCAGTTTGAGTTGATGTTTTTACACATTGTGTTATCTGCTTTATTTTCTTTTTCATCCTAAGTGAGTTGATTTGGGATTTTATATACTGATGTATATCATTGGTTTTTAAAAATTATTTTAAATTATTTGGCTAAAAGAAAAAGGGTACACATTCTGTTCACATCAACTAAACCTATTCTCTGCTTCTTCCCCTCTCCCTTAGTTATATTTGGCAGTATTCAGGTGCTTTCTTAAAGAGAACATTTTATCTATTTAAGAGGGGAAAACAGGAAAGTTTCACTGGAAGGCAGCAAATCTAAATGAAGATAGGATGTCAACTAAAAAAGGGAATAGAAAGAATCATACATCAAGGAGGCTGATCATGATGTCGCCTTCACTTGTGGCTAATATGCCTTCTGGACTTCTCTGTATTTTAGTAAGTTTTGCTTCTGATCAGCATGAAACAGTGTCAGCATGGAATAGCTTTTTGGTGTTCTTTGTGCTGGACTTCCTATGTATTCATTTAACATTTCTAGCTTCTCTTTAGTGTTCTCCTCTCCTGTTTCTGTGATTCTGTTATCCTGTTCACTCTTTTTCTCTTTCTGATTACTCATTTTGTATCCTTTGATAGCCTGTTATTTTCCCTTTTTCTAAATGGTGACATTTCTTGTTCAGTTAAATATTTGTATACTTACCATGTGCCTTGCAATACACAGTCTGGTAGGGAAGATAGGATTCAGCCCCGGGCTAGTCCTCTTGGATTTCCTTTTTCTGTGGCCTTAGTTGTTAGCTCTGTGTGATGGCTCCCAGTTCTTCATCTCCCATGCCTCATCTTGTGTCGCCACTTAATTGTTGGAGATTTCCATAGAGAAATTTGCCTTTCCCTTAAATTCAGTTAGGTCTGAACTTTGACTGCATCATCTTGTCATGTGCATTCCTCTTCTTGACTTCCTTGTCACTGATACTGTCTCTTCTTAGTCATCCTCCAAGCTCTTAACATTAATCAGCTTTGATTCTAGCTTCTGTTATCCCTGAACTCAACAACTTACCAAGATGAATTAGTGTGTTGTTCCTAGCTTCTGTCCTTCCCTATATTTTACTTCTAATGTTTTGCCTAGATCTTTCTAATATTAGACCCACTTTAATGCAATCACTTTTCCTCCTTTTAGGCTCTTGACTGTATTTCATTGTGCTACTTGCCAGGTCAACTTAACACATAATTGAGTCCATCATTCTCCATTCCCTAAAACATCAGATGGCCCTCTTGCCTACAGTGTGAACTCTGTGTCCTTATTCTTCCTCTAGACCTTACCCCATAAAGCTAACCTGCTTTATTAACTTCATATCCTCATGCTGTCCTGTGTAATCTCTTGGCTCCAGGCAGGCTCTTTATACCTTACCTGTTGTCATGGTAATCATTATCATAATTAGTCACTTCGGTCGTGTCCAATTCTTTGTGCCCTATGGGCTGTAGCCCGCCAGGCTCCTCTGTTCATGGGATTCTCCAGGCAAGAATACTGTAGTGGGTTGCCATGCCCTTCTCTAGAGGATCTTCCTGACCCAGGGATTGAACCTGAGTCTCTTATTGGGCTCTTTATCATTAGCGCCACCTGGGGAAGCCTTAGTATTACACTATATCTTTACATCTCTTGTCTTGTTTACATCACGGGAACTGTGTAAGATAAGTGGGGCTTATTGGAGTTAGCTACTGAATCATATAATCTTAATGTGCATCATTTAACTTCAGAGACTTAAGTTTTCACCTTTAATGAAATAACTCACTTATGAATCAGAATGTCCACAAGGTAGGAAGTAGTCTGGAAATGAATACGGGGCTTCCCTTGTGGCTCAGCTGGTAAAGAATCCGCCTGCAATGAGGGAGACCTGGGTTCGATTCCTGGGTTGGGAAGATCCCCTGGAGAAGGGAATAGCTACCCACTCCAGTATTCTGACTTGGAGAATTCCATGGACTGTGTAGTCCATGGGGTTGCAAAGAGTTAACACGACTGAGTGACTTTGACTACAGACACAGTGTATCAGCATACTAGCTTAAATAAACTTTTGTACCATGGAAAACTTCTATTTCATTTTGCTATCTTGATTTTAAAACTTTCTTGTAGAGAAAATTCAACATATATAAAGACAGAATAAATAAAATGAACTCTTGTGTTCTCACCACCCAGCTTTTAAATATTTATCAATTCATGACTGTCTGATTTTACAACTTTCCCCTCTTTGCTGAATAGTTTAAAGCAAATTTCAGATATATTATCACTTTACTGGTAGTCTTTTACAGGAAAATTTATTTTGACTCTTAAGCAGTCAAATTATAAGCAAACTTCAGGACCACACATCTTCGTAACTTGACGAGGATCTACACCAGTGTTTTCCAGGTGGAGTTCCCAAAAGTCAGGATTGGGATTGAGGGATTGTTGTTTGGGACCTGGTTAAATTTGAAAATACCAATACAAATCACTTATTCAAATCACCAATACAAATCATTACACACAGGGTAATGATTAATGTACTTAGACAAATCTTTTAAAAGATTTGTCTGAGGGAGAGGTGGTGGTGTGCGCGTGGTGGGGCAAGCGGTATTTATCCTACGTAAAATAGCAAAAGAGGCAATTAAGGAAAATTTTGGGAAAAAGATTTGGTCACAGCCTTATAATTTGGTGAAAGAACCAAATAGTGATAACATGGCTGTTTTTTAATCTCTTCCATCTCTCCCTTGCTGTCCTAGACTACCAGGCTGGGAGAACATCCTTTCCTGAACTATTCCTACTATCTATGTTGGCTCTACTTTTGTCCTGGGAATTATACTTACCTAGGAAATGTGGTATAGGAGTTGTAATATTCCATGTAAGGTTTATGAAAAATACATATGGCTTCCCGGGAAGTTCTGAAAAATATAATGTTGTATGATAAATGTTTTTCTCTTTCTTTGTAATATTTATTTCGGTGACTATTTCAGTCAAGCTGCAGTTTCAGCTCAGGCCACGTCAAATGCTAACCCAGCCCAGCCTGCTGCTACACAGCCTCTAAATTTGGCACATGTGCCTGGGGAAGAACCCCCACCAGCTCCAAACCTTGTGGCCCAAGAAAATCGACCCATGAATGAAAATGTTCAAATGAATGCACAGGGAGGGCCAGTGCTAAACGAGGAAGACTTCAATCGAGACTGGCTAGACTGGATGTACACCTTCTCTCGGGCGGCGATCCTGCTTAGCATTGTATATTTCTATTCTTCGTTTAGTCGCTTTATCATGGTGATGGGAGCCATGCTGCTGGTTTATCTGTGAGTGGTGTTCATTCCTTACGATTACTTTCTAAAACTGTTAAGCATGGAATCTGGCATGTGGTAGTCTGTTGTGAATGTTGAGTGGAGGAATATGAATGTTGGGCTTCAGATACCTAGCATCAAGAGCAAAGCAAGTTATGTTTTGTAAGAACGTTTATGACAATTGTCTAGAAGCAAGATTTTTTCCCTTTACTACTTTTTATAAAAATGGTTAGTTCAGTTAGGTATGCTCTCTAGTAATCATTTAGAACTTGAGTACATGATGCAGTCTTGTAGAGGAGTTCCTTTTTAACTAACTATAGTTATCGATAATAAGTCTGTTAGATATAGGTCAAATTTTTTTTCTTAAGTAGACTAACTGTCCCTTGCTCCCCTTTTTTCTTAGGAAGCAAATAAATATCTAGTTGAATTTCATTTTGAAAAATATCAAAAAATGATTTTAGGACTCCTGATATGTCTTACTAGCTCAGGATAGACTTAAAATGATTCCTGTTTTCCTGTCATTGCTTTGAGAGGAGTAGTTCTTGACCTGAAGAAGGAAATTTGGCTTTTTCATTTATCATAGTTCAACCCATGAATGAAAATGTTCTAATCATTTTGCTCTTGTAGGACCCTATTATTTCATAGTGTTACGAGTAAAAACAGTTGTGACTTATTTTCTTTTCTCTTTATTTTACTGAGCAGACACCAAGCTGGATGGTTTCCTTTTAGGCAAGAAGGAGTTCAGCAACAGGCTCCCAACAATAATGCCGAAGTTAACAATGATGTACAGAATGCAAACAATCTAGAACTTGAAGAAATGGTATGCTCATGAGGTTTTCATATAGTTAAATATAGGTGTTTCTTCAGCACTGTATGAGACCAATATAATAAAAGAATCTCGGGTATTTCATAGTATTGAAGAAAAGTTAACATGTAAATGTGTGGTTTAATCCCAGAGAACCTATAATACTGAGTCAGTCATGTATTAGTAAGTGGAAAGAACTAACATCGTTCTTTCTAAAAATAGCCTAGAAAGTTATGCTCACAATGAGAAATTATTGTATTAAACTGGCAGTTATTTCTTTGAACTTGAACAAGGAGGAGTTTATCAGTGTTGGGCTTAAGGAGGATCTCTAATGACCAGATAGTTCTACTTCCTTATTATATACTCATGTTCCTTCTTTGGGAAGAATTTAACTCTCTCCTTTTTTTGTAATGAGTTCATGGTAGCTGTTAAGATCACTTAGGAATATGTTTCTTGTTTTGTTTGAAAGGAGCGTCTTATGGATGATGGGCTTGAAGATGAGAGTGGAGAAGATGCGGGTGAAGATGCCAGTGCGATTCAAAGGCCTGGATTAATGGCGTCAGCCTGGTCTTTTATCACCACATTCTTTACTTCACTAATACCAGAGGGGCCTCCCCAGGTTGCCAATTAGACTTGAAAAACTGTGCCAGCTGCAAAGGAGGGTCTGAATTTAGGAAAGTGTTTTAAATAACAGTGCAATTTCAAAAAAATTTATTACTTTCTTTTCATCATCATGTACAGAGGTGTTTTTTTCTTTAAACTTCTCATGCATATGAATATTTTAAGCACAAATAGACTACTAAATGTGTGATTTTTTTTTTTTTAAGATCCTAACAGAACATAGCTTAACAATATTGGTCTTCCAGGTTTTATTAATTTCAATTATGTATATTATATCAAGACACACTTGTGTGTCTTATTTCTTTAAAGAGCTGCTTCACATATAAATGTCTATAGCTTATAGCCCAGCCCTTCAATGTATAATTTGAATAAATATATCTATTTTCTGTGAATTATTCTAAAAGTTTTAAACAGAATGACCTCATAGTTTTTAATGAAGAATATTAATTACCTAAAATGTGCTAGTAGCATCTTGCCCAGTCATAAAGCAATAAACTTCTCAATAATCTTCATTTTGACATTTGAATAAATGGAAACTTTCTATTTTAAGGGCATGTATCCCATCAATTGGAATTAGTACTTTTAAAAAAAAGGCAGCTCTTCAGTGGAATTAATAGTGATATAAAATATTTGATATAGGCAGTACTTTTATAAAATAAGATTCTGGAAATCACTCCCTGTAATTTTTTTAAAAATAAAAGGTCAATTATGGTAAAACTGTCTTGTATATTTATTCAAACTGTCCCATATTATACTCTCTCCATACAAAAATCTATGTAAATTTCAGTAGTTCTGGAGTTGCTGAAGTCTTCAAGGTCATTTTCACCTCTTTTTATTCCAGATGGATATTTTCTAGTTCTCAGGTAGTCTGAAACCTCTTTAGTTTATTTAAAAATCCCTGTGAAAGTCAATTTGATCTTTCTTAAGAAAGGAGTAAGTCTCTTATAGGGTAGCTAATTAAAATTGAATAAATGCAGATAGGAGAACTTAACTATGAAAGAACTTTAACTCATGTGAAATGTATATAAAAGTATATATAAAACTGTTAGAGTAATATATGATTGCTGTCCACCAGGCTGAGGTGTGGTACATTTTTACACCGTTTGGGTTCATGGTTAAGGATGGCTTGTTTCAGGGCTGATAGAATCATTGCATCCAGAGGGAGCGTCTGGATTTTAACCTGGGAACTAAATAAATAAACTGTCAGAGTTGAAAGAAATGTTCCATAGGTCAGATCCTAAAAATAGAGTCGGTGGGTAGAGTACGAACGCAGGTGTAATTATGAGATTGAGCAGCCTCAGTCTCGTATCTTCAGTTGGGATTTGGGCAGGGGAGAGCTGGAGCCACAGAATTCATAGAGGGGAGCATTATTGTGGGGGACACCCATCTGAAGGGCATGAGCAGGTCTCTGCATCCTAACTGCAGGTTGGGCCCTAAGGAGAAGGATGTTGGTCGTAGACCCCCTGTGAAAGGCTGTGGCTAAGCATTCTAATAAAGATGAAATGTATTATACTACTCTATTTTAATTATTTTCTCTACATTGTTAATTCCCTCATATTAGTCTTACTTCTAGTAAATCTTTGTCAGAAACTACAACCCAGTGTCAGCTATGGTTTGGATGATTAAGGGAGGAGCTGTGCCCATGCTGGGGCCAGATGGTGCTTAGAAGGCAGTTGTAGCATGGAGATGGTTTCCAGATGGAAAAAGAGCCACACAGAAGCCCAGATGCTGGTCTCCAGGCTAAATGGTGACTAGCAACAATCAGGATGGGACTGAAACACTTCCCAGGCAAAGACTAGGCTTTCTGTGTCTCGTCTAGTGTTGGTCGCTCAGTCGTGTCTGACTCTTCGTGACCGCGTGGATTCTAGCCCGCCAGGCTCCCCTGTCCATGGGGTTTCCCAGGCAAGAATACTGGAGTGGGTAGCCATTCCCTTTTCTAGGGGATCTTCCTGACCCAGGGATTGAAGCTGGGTCTCCCTCATTCTTTACCCTCTGAGGAGATTCTGGGTCTCCTCAGATTCTTTACCATTTGAGGCACCAGGTCAAGCAGTATGGGTGAAAGGGTTGGTTTTTATTAGCTGGGTAAAAGGAAAGAGTGATCCTGAGGGCTGAAGAATTGGAACTATTTTCACCATAGCTTGATGCTGCCACCTATCATCATTCTAACTAGTTCCTCTGGCTCCATCATCCCTATCGAAATTTGGCTTTTCAGAGTAGGGGAGGCAAGGCCAAGTTTGGAGCCTCACTAGTGTAGTCCCCGTGGGTGCTTTGCTTCCCTAAGACTAAGGTGTGCTGCTCTGTTGTTGGCTCTCTGTACGTCTGGTGTAGAGCAGACCCTGAGGCCTGTTTTATCTGGAATTATGTTGATGGATGGAATGTGGTATTCCCAACTACTGATCTTTCCTGAGAGTCCTGATGTGGCTAGCTGACTCACCCCCCAAATGGCATCACACACTCTCACTGCAACCTGGGAAACGGGCTGCATGGTGAGTATAAAACATATATATTGTATTTTATATCTTACGAGGGCTTCCCTGGTAACTCAGCTGGTAAAGAATCCGCCTGCAATGCACAAGACTCTGGTTCAATTCCTGGGTCAGGAAGATCCCCTGCAGAAGGGATAGGCTCCCCACTCCAGTATTCTTGGGCTTCCCTTGTGGCTCAGATGCTAAAGAGTCCTGCTGCAATACAAAAGACTTGGGTTCGATTCCTGGGTTGGGAAGATCTCCTGGAAGAGGGAATGGCTACCTACTCCAGTAATCTTGCCTAGAGATCCATGGACAGAGGAGCCTGGTGGGCTAAGAGTCGGACACGACTATATGACTTTCACTTCACTTATCTTACACATATATGATATTTTGGTTGTTTTAATATTTTAACATTAAATAATTTTTTTGAATTTGAAAAATTGTGACAAGAATGTTTACCATGAAGTCTACTGTCAACAGATGTTTAAGTGTATAACAGTAGCGTTTAAGAACATTTAAATAAGACATGTAAAAATAAAGAAGAATAATGATACTTCTTGAATAAAAGTGTTGGGGAACAATGCAAGCCTTTTTAAATTAAAATACCATGGCATCTTTGAAATAAAAGTTTTTCTTACAAAAAGAGCCCAGAATAATTAGGGTTCCTATTCCAAAGCACCTGGAGCTTCTCGACTGTCCAAGAGTCTTAGTAAGTGGAAGGCTTTTTCCAGCATCATGGGGCCTCAGCCCAAATAGGGAGGACAGCAGGAGATCTGACTCCAGAGCACATCTCAGTGGTTAATGTCTCACATCACACTTGGGGGATAAGCCCTGGAGGCCCCAGTATAGGGTGCTAGTTTCAAGAGCCTTCTTGCCAAAGCTTACTTTGATCCTGCTGCTATATTCTAACTCTTTTACTCCAATTGATCTGTTTTCCAAAGTGAAAATATTGATGGCTACATAAACTATTTCATGTGGTGCAGTAAGCCATTTTGCTCAGCTATTCCCAAGCCATAGGAAAGTTGGAAAAATTAAGATCTATATAGCATCTTTACCAGTTATTCCTCACAGAGGGTGCATGGAGAGAGGCTATCATTATGTGTTAATTTATATAATTAATAAAAACCATTATAATGTTTTAAAAGCTGCTATTACTAACATCTGAACATTTGTTATATTTCTGGCTCTGTGCTGAATACTATACCTGCATTGAAAAAATATTTAAAGCAACTCAAGGTAAGTGCTATTGTTCCGTTTTTCAGATAAGGTAACTAAGACTCGTGAAAAATAGCTCACTTTAAGTCATATAGGTAGTAAGTGACAGACTCAAGTCTATTTTACTTCAGAACTTGAATTTTCTTTTTTTTTTTCCATTTATTTTTATTAGTTGGAGGCTAATTACTTTACATCATTGCAGTGGTTTTTGTCATACATTGAAATGAATTAGCCATGGATTTACATGTATTCCCCCATCCCGGTCCCCCCTCCCACCTCCCTCTCCACCCGATCCCTCTGGGTCTTCCCAGTGCACCAGGCCCGAGCACTTGTCTCATGCACCCAACCTGGGCTGGTGATCTGTTTCACCCTAGATAGTATACATGTTTCGATGCTAGAACTTGAATTTTCTAAAAGTAACTTTTCAAATAAAGCACATAGAGACTTCAGTTTCCAGTAATGGGTGATTAGCTTGTTTTGCCCCAACCCCTCTGCTGAGAAAACTAAAACAGTTAGGATATAGATATCTATTAAAGCATCAGAGAGCTATCAAGAAAGCAGGGGCAGATACTCCACACATACGAGACCTATGTTTGGTGCCACGTTTTACTCTTAGAAGCACTTTGTAATTCAAGAACAAGTGAGAGAAACAGCAAAAATTTTGGTAGACTCATAGGAAACAAAATTTAGAGTTCTGATTGCACCAAGAAGAAATGTCCTTTAAACGTCCTAGGTTTTCTTATTGGATCCCCAAAGGTCTACCCCTTGAGTGAAGGAGAACTGGAAATTGAGGATACTCACAAGCACTGAAGCCCAGCCTCAAGTGATCTCAGTCCCTAACTGAATGAGGCAACTGGTCCCAAACCTAGTGGACAGCCAAAAGCAAAAATAACCCCCTCTGAAGAAAGATAACATCATGCAGTTTCTCAAATTGTCTCTATAATTGTTCAAAGTCTGTTAATCCCAATAAAAAATATAACTAGCAATACAAACACATTAAGATTTGACCAAAAAGGAGAGAATGAAACAGATAAACCTCAGAAAATTAAGATATTCAGCATTATCTGATAGAGACCTTATAATAACTGTGATCAAAATGTTAAAGGATTTACAGGACAAGATGGAGAAACTTCAGGAGACAATTGGAAATTATATAAACATAAAATTATATAAACATAAAAAATAATGTGACTGAAGTTAAGAAATCAGTAGATCGCTTTGATAGTCCCAGTTTAAGAGAGAATTAGTGAACTGGAAGGTAAAAAAATTATCCAGAATGATGCTGGGGGGAGAATAGGGCAGACAACACTTGAAGAGATAATGGCTA